TGTGTGTTTTTACCCACTTCACACTGAGGTTTCCAAGTCCATAACTGAAGGTTTGAGTGACGCACAACTCCTCAGAAGCCCCAGTTGTTCATGAACGAGTGTCTTCTCACCAGCAGAGTGCAGCCTCCTTCCATCCTGGACCAGTGGGACACAACTGAAGTGGTTTCAGCTGGAGGAAAGTCCAGTAAAGAGGGATGTGGGAGGAGACTCTGAGTTACAGTAGTTTGTCATCCTGCATGTTTGTGCTGTGGTGAAGCTTCTTATTTCAACACAATGGAGAGAAAACGTCTCTTTCCTGGTACATGTGATTTTAAATGGAGAAAAAAGGTGTAACTGAAGTACAAATAAGTAGTACTTGTACCCGACAGCTTCCATATTATGTTACTTCATACTTTACTCAGCCACTGCATTGCAGTTGACAGTTTTTAGTAGAATGATTCATATTCCAGTTTTACTTATGAGGCTTGATAACGTGTGCGAGTGACACTGCAGGAGCTCAGTTTGGAAAGCAAGTACTTTTATTTTGTATACTTGATTTCTGTGTTTGAGTAACGTTTCCAATGCAGGAGCTTTGCTTGTACTAGAGCAGTTTTACTTTGTGCTTCTTTAGCTTCTAAGTCAACATTTTGACCTTCATGTAGTACGTTAGAACTAGATCAGAGTCTGGTGCATAGAATCTTAGGGATTCTCTCATTGGGGGGGGATGGATTGAGAATTTCTCCTTCTTTCCTCCTGTTAAACATCTTACGGCCTTGGGAGGGGCCTGGTCCTTATGTTGAGAACCACTGGACTAAACTAATATAAATTCGTTATGACCAGATGCTGAGCTTTGATTAATTTGGCTCGTCATCAGTCCAAGGCTGAATAGTTTTTATACTTCAAGTACCTTTAGTTATAAATCCAGTGTACTTTGGCTTTGGGTAGGACTTCTGGGAGCATTTTACCGGTACTGGTAGTTTTACTTCTGGAAAGGCTTCGTGTACCATAAGCGATGTCTTTGTGTTTCTTATGTTCTGTGTGTGTGTGTGATTTTACTTTTTAGTTTATTTAATCCACAACAGAAAAGCACTGACCACTGTTGGGAAGCAAAAGATCAATCTACACCAAAAGATTGGGGTTTTATTTTGTACAACTAGTTCAACACGGTGTGTGTGTGTGTGTGTGTGTGTGTGTGTGTGTTGTGAGGTGTCACCGTGTGACCACACATGACCTCTACACTTCTTCAGGTTTACACTTTTTGACTTTTGTTATTTTGAGGTCACATTTGACCTATGTTCAGCTCACTAGTAAATAAATTGTCCTGTTCACTATTGACGTCACGATCAGTGCTGCTTATCCAATCAGAAGCGAGAGGCTCGTGGGTGGGCGTCGTCAAACCGGAACCGGCCGGTTAACGGCGTCTTATCAGATTTCTGTGAGTGACCAGACGGTTCAGCTTCACTGTTAGAGTCGCTGGTTTAGGAGAAGAAGAAAGAAGAAGAGGAAGAGGAGGAGGAAGAGTTCAGTACGTCTGGTAAGTTAGAGAAGATCTTTAGTGACTTGGTTTTTATATCCTGTCACTAGTCACTTTATTAGGAACACCTGTCTGATCCAACTCTTCCTCATGAACTGACTTCCAGTTTGTGTTCACACCGTTTCACAGAGGTGATGATTCACCTGTGTGGTCTGACGTGTATGAGGGAAACACGGTGTTACCGGAGCGGGTGTTACCGGAGCGGCTGCTCCAGCTGATCCAGCCTTTCCCCGGTCCGGTGCACCGTGGCGTGAAACGCGCGCAGCAGAGTGCGTCATGACCTTTAGTTAATGAGTAGCTGTGTGCGATGCCCCTTGATGTGCACGCTGGGACCGTGCACACCGCCCATCAGCATCTGTCAGAGACCGTGCGTCAGCAGCCACTTCTCACTTCTGCTCTTCTTAGGTGGGGACGCTTCAGGCTGAACTGGGAGAACGAAGAGCAATGGAGCTGCTACTGGTGAGTCTGAACAGCTGTGCACTGCTTTGTGGATCTGATATTAACCAGTAGTGAACGTTTCGTTTGCTCATTTTGGTTGTTGCACCTGGTACAACCGGCTCAAAGTCAGGACGTCCTGCCTGACTGACATCCCTCTGACAGCTGACAGCTGACAGCCAGAGATGACGGCTCACGGGGCAGCAGGAGGCAAAGTACTGTACCACAGCTGAATCATAACAAGGCTGTGCATTGAAAATTAAACCATCAGGAGCTGAATCATCCTGCAGCCAGCGAAAGGCGTAGTGTCACCTGTGCTGTCCCATACGTTCCTCATGTGCTGGTTCATTTTTGACGTGAACCAAATCGTAGAAACTCAGCATTTTAACAGAAAAGACACAGCAGCTGTTTTACTTTTTTTAAATAAGTCATCTGATTGTGAAAACAATGAGCCAGGTCACTACTGGGATCATCTGACTGTATGATGAATCATGTGTCCGTCTTCCTTTAACCCGTTTTCCATTTCTTGTCTTGTTGGACCCTTTCTCCTCTCTCTCCTTGTGTCGATCCCACCCCCACCCCCACCCCCAGGCTCACCCAGCCATCAAAGCCTTCATGTGTGGCTCCCTCAGTGGGACCTGCTCCACGCTGCTGTTCCAGCCTCTTGACCTGGTCAAGACCCGCCTCCAGACGCTGCAGGGCGGCGTGCAGCCTGGGTGAGTCCCAGTACATGTGCATCACTTAAAGGCGGTAGCCATCAGTTACCGCTGCTCATCTGTTGCCTTGGTGTTGGCAGCTCGGGCAGAGTGGGGATGATGACGGTGCTGCAGAGCGTGGTGCGCACAGAGCGGCTGCTGGGACTGTGGAGAGGAGTTTCACCGGTTAGTTCCAAAGTCTTGTTCACACATTCATCAGCTTGAGACCTTCCCTCCTCTGACTCTGCTCTCTCCTCTTCCCCCTGCCCCGCCAGTCCTTCGCTCGGACCATCCCGGGTGTGGGGATCTACTTCAGCACCTTCTACTCTCTGAAGCAGCACTTCTTCCAGGACAGCAGCCCAGGGCCCGTGGGGGCCGTGCTGCTGGGAGCAGGGGCCCGGACGGTGGCAGGGGTCTCCATGCTGCCAGTCACTGTCATCAAGACACGCTTTGAAGTAAGCCCACGTGTGTTTGCACCACATCCTCCATGTACATACAGTGTATGAATTGTGTAAGCATTTCCAAAGATGGACTCTGGTCTATTTGCCCCGGGGTAGTTTGTGGTTTCTGCCCTGAAGCGCTGCAATGTCAGACTCTGCTTTTGATTCTCATTTGACCTTTGAGTGAAGGAAGTGGAGCACAACAGTCTGATATGGTGCTTTTTATGGCTGTAGATTGTGTTAATGATCAGGTCTCACAGACACACAGCGACACATGAGCAGGTCGAGTTTATTGGTCTGAAACCAGAGATTTATGATGTTTGTCCAGCTGTGAACATCTGGACAAACAAACCTCAGAGACCAGACGGTGGTGTTCTTGGGTAAATCCCAGTGTGTTTTTACTTTAGTTTGTTCTCCATGTTGGGACAGGCGTGCTGCTGTATGTGCATGTGAAGCTGAAGTCGGTGTGTGTCTTTGTGTGTCAGTGTGGCAGGTACAGTTACAGGAGTGTGACCGGAGCTCTGCGCACCGTGTGTCAGACTGAGGGTCCTGCAGCTCTGTTCTCAGGCCTGATGGCCACTCTCCTCAGAGACGTACCCTTCTCTGGAATCTACGTCATGTTCTACAGCCAGACCAAGGCCTCGCTGCCAACAGGTGAGTACACACAACCAATACGACGTTGCCATTGAATCGTACCTCAGGCTGAACAGGTAGTTGTCTTTAACGCCTCCTGTCCGTCTGCCTTGAAGAGATCAGCACGTCTCCCTCGGCGCCCCTGGCTAACTTCACCTGTGGGATCCTGGCCGGTGTGTTGGCGTCTCTGGTCACCCAGCCTGCCGACGTGGTGAAGACACATGTCCAAGTGAATCCACGACTGAGGACGGTGGAGGCTGTCAGATGCATCTATGTGGTAACTGTTATGCTTCTCTAGCTTGTTGCTGATGACTGAAGCTGCAGACATGTCTAGTTGAACACATCATATTTTAACTGCGGCACACGAGGGCATGATGGGATTTGTACCTGACTCTGTCCTCGTCCTCTCTCTCTCTAAGGAGCACAGACTCCAGGGCTTCTTCAGGGGGGCAGTGCCTCGGACACTGAGGAGGACCCTGATGGCTACCATGGCGTGGACGGTGTATGAGCAGATGATGGCCCGCCTCGGGCTGAAGTCCTGACGGGGGGCGACGTCTTGTTGTCGACGGCGCAGAGGAGTCGCTCACGTGCCGAGGCTTTCTACGAGTTGAAATGTCTGACTAAACAAAGCCTGCACTGGCCTGGCTGACACTCACACTACGGGACGGAGCTGGAGACTTTGTTCGACCAGATGTGCCGAGGATTTAGACTCGGCAGTAACTGAGATTCACGTCAGTGGGAGAAACCGTCTCTGGTTTACTGTGGTTATGGAACACGAGGTTTCAGAGAGACTGCAGTGACGCGGTCCAGTGAGGGTCCTCCTCAGAAGACACTGGCCCAGATACAGACTTTGGTGCTGTACGTTAACCTGAGCTGCTCTGGTCACAGTTTAAGTCCAGGACGGTTTTCATCACAGTGATATCTGCCCACCCACACCGGTGCTTGTAGTGGCCACTCAGCACATTCATCTGCCTGAAAATGTGATGATCTTTGTAAAACTCCCCATCCCACCTGTGAGACCCCCTGTCCTTGGTCCTGCTGCTCTAGGTGTTTTAGATTGTTTTAAAGCTCCAAGTCTTTGGATTGTGTTGATTTTTCTGAACACAAAAAGTTGTACTACTTTTTTAAATGTCTGAATAAATAAATAAGCCACTGGTGAGGAAGAACAGCGTGCGTTTCTCCTGTGTCTGTGTCTTTGGTTCAGTCATTCAGATGTTCGTTTACACCAGAAGCACTTCTCAGTGTAACCCAGTCCAGCACAACCTGCGGCCTCCACCGTGGCCACACAGGCCAAGCGGCGCCTCTGTGAAACAGGCTGAACGTTATAGGAGGAGGATTCACTGCAGCGCTGTTGGATTAGACCGACTTAGGGTGAGACAGCTGTTACCTAATAAACTGGCCGCTACAAGCCAACATCCCCTAAAAAAATAAAAGTTTAGTCTTTGAAAGCTGAAGCAGCTGAACTGCGTAATAAAATGTGTCTCTCATTAACAGCACAGGATATAAAACAGCAGCAGGGCTCGCTGGTTCAGCACCTTCTGCAGATTTAACAGCACATCACAGCCAAATGCCAGAACATACTGGCCAAAGACTCGTCACAGCGGAGAGACAGAGATAAGCGCTGGGGGGTGTGGTGACACGGCATCAAATAGGAAATAAGCACAGGGAGTGGTGGGCTGTCTGGCTGAGGTAGGAGGGTGATCTCAACAGACACGTTCAGGATTTATTCAAACCAGGTGCTTAGAGAAAACTCAACATCCCTCTTCAGTTTTGTTTGACTTGGTGTCTGAACATTGTGGTTAGAGTTCGTCACCTCTGTTGTGAACAATACGGGCTACACAGCTGACCTCAGCGCACACTTATCGGTGCATTTGGATCAGTAATGTGTATCTTTTAATCTTCAGATGGGAGCTTCTGATCTGTGACACACATAGCTGTTCCACCGAGATGGGACTTGGGTCAGAATTATGGACCACAGTGTGAAATAATAACTGAGTTATGAGACACTGACCAAAACACCAGACCCTGAGTGTGCTTGTTTACCAGTATTGTGTAACTTACCCTCCTGTTTCCCAGAAAACAGCCCCAAAATATGTCATTCCCTCATGTGACACATGGCCACACTCCTTCTTTTAGCCTTGTTTGGAGGATCCTTCACCTCCTGTGTCCTTGACGTTCATCCAGACCTGAGTTTTGAATCAACACATCATTACTAGTTAACCTGTTGTGTGCCTCTGTCTGCTCAGCAGCGTCATTAAACCCATAGTGTCCTCTGAGGATTGCAGTAGAGTACACAGAAGTACTCAGATCCATTACGTCAGTAAAAGTATTAATACCACAGTGTACAAATACTGTTACATGTAATTGTCTTTCATTCAAAATGTTATAAATAAAAGTACCAAAGTATCAGCATCCAAATCTACCTGAAGTACCAGCAGTACCAGTACTGGTCCTCCAGAACAGCCCGTGTCCCAGTAACGTTTCTGATACTGGATCATAGTGACTAATTACTGTGTCCATCACTTTAATGCTGCAGCTGGTAAAGGTGGAGCTGATGGTAACTACCTTATATACTTATACTGGGAAGTACTTTCCATCCTGCTGGGTAGCTGGTGGATTTCCTACTGGGATCAATAGAGTCTGATGGTTCTACTGGGTTTGGTTTGATTCATCTGGTTCTGGACCTGAAGGTATCAGGTACATGTAGTGCACAGTAAAAAGTACACGGTTTGTCTCTGACATGAAGTCACAGGATGAAGGAACAGGACGTGAAGTACTCAGGTTAGGCACAGATACATCAAAACCATACTTAAGTACAGTACTAGAGTAAATGTACTTGGTTACTTTCCAGCACTGATAATACACAGCTTTCAGTCAAATCATTTCTCAACTCATTGTGTCACTGCGTACATGTCATGATCCCTGTGCCGAGAACTCTTTATCTCCGGCAAACAGAGTTACAACACAGGTCAGTCTTTCATCGAGGACTCAGCGTCTCAGCATTGTCTTAATATGGTCTTTCCATCTCCACTGTCTTAATATGGGATACTCATCCGATCCAGCATCTGACCTGTGCTTACCAGCGCTCCTATGGCACAGCCCCACCCAGTGGCCACATCACACAACTACACCAATGCAAGTCAAACTCCAGCCATTATTCATCCGCTTGGCTGCAGCCAATCCCAGCAGACAGTGGGCGGGAGGCGGGCTCCACCCTGGACAGGTCGCCAGTCTGTCACAGGCCTGGCATGTAGACAAACACACCTGAATCGATATTACTGTTTTTAAATAAAGAAACTGTAAAATAATTACATTCTGACACATGGATTCACAAACACCGCATTCACATCAAATTTGCTGTCTTGTTTGTTACCTTTGAATAAAGATTTTTGGGGAGAAAAGCAACCAATCAGAAGCTTGGAAATTTGGTATAAAAACTACGTCATTTCCTCCCAGCGCTCTCTTTTTCACCGTGTGGTCAGATTTCCATACGGCGTTGTTTCGTGGTGAGTTTTAACTTTAATATTTCGGTAGTAAAGTGTAAAAATGCGACAGAGGAGACAGTGTAATAATAAATTACTATATAAACAAACAGTGGAGCAGCGAAAGTCCTGCCTGTCGTCATTTTATCGTGTCTAACTACCTTTTATATCACCCCTAATGTTCTTAGCTAGCTAGCTTGCTAGCCGCCGACACGCGCTCGTGTCGCTGTGTCCTGTCCCCAGTTACCGTTCAGGCTTTATATTCACAGCGTGCACGTGAAACTGAGTTAGGAGTCTGAAATCGGAGATGGAAAATGTAGATAGAGTATGTTAGCTTGGCATGCAGTGTGGCTTTACGCTGTCAAAGGCCGTGCACTACCCGGATGCCCGCTTTAATGGTGGGTTTCCGGGCCACGGTATCAACTCGGGGGGTGTCACCGTGAAAATTTGTTTCTATGCCTAAAACTGCACAAACCGGTAGAATACCGAGTGTAAACTGAGAAGAAGAAGAAAGCTGCTGTTCTCTGCGGATCCGATGGAACCATGTGTGGTTTTCTACTGAAGCTGCAGGAATAAAGTCCAGTTCAAGGTCCGACTGTTCACTGCCCCTGTGTGTTGGAGGCTGCTTCGTGAATGCTGTTAAAGCTCAGTGTTTGGAGTTTCAGTTTGGGGATTGCTGATAGAAGAGCAGACTGGGCACTAAACAAAAAGAAACGAACACTGTCAGCTTTCATGATCCTTCGTCTGATCGGTAACACTGACTAAATCCTGTGAACTGAAGCTCTGCCTGTTCACACTCAGCTTGACCGGGAGTTTAACATTAATACAGCACATCTCCAGTGTCTGGTGGACTCGAAGCAGGATTTTCATAACCTGCTGCATTTCTCTCCACATGTGGAGATAACTGTATGGCTTCAGTTGGCATCATCACTGATATTAGGTGTCATTAATCTAAGTCAGAAGTGATTCTACATTATCTAATCTACTGTGATTGGCTGACCAGTGATTTTCATCCTTTGTACAGCTCTCCCATCTAACTCGTAACGCAGGGAAAGCGGTCACGATGTCCGGAGGTCTGGATGTCCTTCAGATGAAGGAGGAGGATGTGCTGAAGTTCCTGGCTGCAGGAACCCACCTGGGAGGCACCAACCTGGACTTCCAGATGGAGCAGTATGTCTACAAAAGAAAAAGCGACGGTGGGTCTCTTCACTGTGGTGCTACTCACTCGCATTACAGTACAAAATAATTATGGGTTAAGGATCCGTTTCTGTTCTTTGGGGTTCTCTTCAATAACCAGGTGTGTACATCATTAACCTGAAGAAAACCTGGGAGAAGCTGCTGCTGGCAGCCAGGGCCATAGTTGCCATTGAGAACCCAGCTGATGTGTGTGTCATCTCCTCCAGGAACACTGGACAGGTAAAGTTGGGCTGGTGGCTGTGATGTCTAAACTGTTGTCCTGTTGCACTGCAGTGCTACTTTACATACTTCGGCTTTGATGTGCACACTTTTAAAGCCGGGCACTGACGTCGGTGTTCAGGTGTCGGAGGTGTGCGAGAGTAAGCAGGCCGGGTTTTCGCTGACACCATGAGGACAGCAGTCCCATGACTGGGGTTTGAATGTTGACCTGATCCACAGATGAACTAGTTAAATGACGACAATCATTAGAGGTGAGCTGAGATGTTGAGTGTAATTCCTTTCTGCCTGTTTCAGAGAGCAGTGCTGAAGTTTGCCTCCGCCACCGGTGCCACCACCTTCCACGGTCGTTTCACCCCTGGTACCTTCACCAATCAGATCCAGGCGGCTTTCCGGGAGCCCCGTCTCCTGATTGTGACAGACCCTCGCGCTGACCACCAGCCGCTGACTGAGGCTTCGTACGTCAACATTCCCACCATTGCCCTGTGCAACACGGACTCTCCACTGAGATATGTGGACATTGCCATCCCCTGTAACAACAAGGTGAGACATCATGCTGACAAATTCTGGCAATAATTTTTGTGGAAACGTTCTGTGAATCCTTGATTTTGCACACAGTTAGAGCCCAGCACTGTCCTGTCTGTACAGTGTAGGACGTGTGCTAAAGAAATCGGTGTGGCCTTTAACCTCCTCTTCTGAACCATGCAGGGAGAAGGGAGTATAGCTCTTGCCACAGAATGCAGAATTACATTTTTGTAAATCTTTATTCTTGTGGGGATCCTAAAAACAAGGCAGTAGGGGGGTGAGTGGGATTACTTTGTGGTGATCAATGGCCTGCTTGTGCCTGTGTTGCAGGGCCACCACTCTGTGGGCCTGATGTGGTGGATGTTGGCCAGGGAGGTTCTCAGGATGAGGGGAACCATCTCCAGAGAGCACCCATGGGAGGTTATGCCAGATCTGTACTTCTACAGGGACCCTGAAGAGGTGAGATGATGGCATTGCACCTTGGCAAATGCTGGCCTAATTTATTTATATATATATATACATGAGAGAAGTTGTTGCATGTGCTAATGCGCACATTTCTGCTGCAGATTGAGAAGGAGGAGCAGGCAGCAGCAGAGAAGGCTGGAAAGGAAGAGTTTCAGGGCGAGTGGAGCGCCCCTCCAGCTGAGTTTGCTCAGCCTGAGGTGGCTGACTGGTCTGAGGGTGTTGCTGTGCCATCTGTGCCCATCCAGCAGTTCCCTGCAGGTAAGATCTGTGGTTTCCCCTGATGAGCCTTTTTCTTTACATACAATTCAACTGGTTTGCTCCCATTATTTGTCACTAACTACTGTTCAACCATGACTTTGGTCTTTGTTACAGCCACTGCACCTGTTAAGACCGGCGAGGTCTTTTCTGGTGAGTGTACATGGAATCTCAAATGATCTGTGCATGAATGAAGCACTAATCTGTCGACATCGGTGCTAAATGTGGGTTTTTTGTTTCCCTAC